AACCCAGAAAACTCCTGATCTCGGTGGGCGATCTCGGCACCTCCCACCTCAACACCGCCTCAATCTTGGCCGGGTCGACCAATATCCCTTTCTGGTTCACAAGATGCCCGAGGAACTGGACCTCTCGTAACCAGAAATCACACTTGGAGAACTTGGCATACAGTCTCTCCGATCTCAAAACCCCAAGAATCTCCCTCAAATGTTCCTCATGCTGGTCCCTAGTCCTCGAATACACCAAAATATCATCGATGAATACGATCACCGACCGATCCAGCATCGGTCGGCACACCCGGTTCATGAGATCCATGAATGCGGCCGGGGCATTGGTGAGCCCAAAAGGCATCACCACAAACTCATAATGTCCGTAACGAGTCCTGAAAGCAGTCTTTTGGATATCCTCCTCGCGAACCCTCATCTGATGATATCCCGACCTCAAGTCAATCTTGGAAAACCAAGATGCCCCCTGCAACTGATCGAACAGATCGTCGATCCTAGGTAACGGATATCGGTTCTTAACCGTCAACTTGTTCAACTCCCGATAATCGATACACATCCGATGTGAACCATCCTTTTTCTTGACGAACAAAATCGCTCCCCAAGGCGAGCTACTCGGTCGAATGAATCCCTTTCCCAACAGCTCCTGAAGCTGCGAGGATAATTCCTGCATTTCCGGCGGAGCGAGACGATAAGGCGCCTTGGCGATGGGCGCCGCTCCCGGAACCAAATCGATACGAAACTCCACTTGCCTCTCCGGAGGCACACCTGGTAACTCTTCGGGGAACACATCCGAAAACTCGCATACAACCGGAACGTCATCAATCGAATTGGGCCTCTCCGCGGTCACACGAGTATCCATCACATAGGCTATGAATCCATCACAGCCCTGCTGCAAACTCTGCCTTGCCCTGGCAGCCGAACAAAACGCCGACCCACACCGGGTCCCCTCGCCATAAACCGTGAGCACTCCCCCACTAGGGTCTCGAATCATCACCAGCTGTCTCTCGCAGTCAATGACTGCTCCAAACTTGCTCAACCAATCCATGCCCACGATAACGCAAACATCCCCCATAGCTATAGGGACCAAGTCTATAGGAAACTCGACCCCAAAAATCTCGAGCACGCATCCTCGAATCACCTCGGTGGCGTATACCGCTTTCTCATTTGCTATAGCAACTCGCAGGGGACGACTCATCGCCTCCGATCGATACGATGTGCTGGCTAAAAGCCAACGAAACAAAAGACCGACTCGCACCCGAGTCGAACAATACCAAAGCAGGCACATGATTCACAAGAAAAGTACCTACGCATATAATAATATAAGCACAATATCTCAGTATAAATGTAAATACATGAAAGAATACATACCGGCCACGACATCAGGCGCCGCGCGGACCTCCTCCGCAGTCAACTGGAAAGCTCTCCCACGAGCCTTCGGAGCCTCGGCCTTCACTGGCCGAACCTCGGGAACCCTGGCAGCAGGCGTAGATCCCTGGCGAAGCTGGGGGCACTCGGCCTTCCGATGGCCAGTCTGGTTGCAATGGAAGCAAACCATGAATCCCTTGGGGCAATCTCTAGCAATGTGCCCCTCCTTGCCACACTTGTAGCAAGCACCCGATCGACATGCCCCCTCGTGACCCTTGCCGCACTTCCCGCAAGTGCGGCTCTTCTGACCTCCGGATCTCAAATCAGCGGACTTGATCCGCTTGGCTGCCGGCTGAGACTGAGCCGGCCGCCGATCCACCCGTTGAGACTCGGCCTCCTCCCTGGCCTGGGTCTCCAACTCGATCTCACGCTTCCTGGCATTCGCCTGAAGCTCAGCAAAAGTCTGATATGACGAGTTCGATACGAACTCCCGGATATCCCTCCTCAGCACTCCCAAATACCGACTCATCCGAGCCTGCTCCGTGGACACCTGCTCGGGGCAGAACATCGCCCTCTCATGAAACTTCCGCGTGATCACCGTAACAGAATCATTACCCTGCTTGAGGGTCAAGAACTCCTGAACCAACCGTTCCCTCTCCACCGGGGGAACATACTCGTCTCTGAACATATCAGTAAACCTCTCCCAAGTCACAGCTGAGACCTCTGCCAGAGTGAAGTTCGCCGTCACGAACTTCCACCAATCCTTTGCTCCCAGGCGGAGCTGGTTCAGGGCGAACCGAACCCTCAGATGCTCCGGACATGAACAAGTATAGAAGCATCCCTCGATATCAGCAATCCATCTCATCGCAGCAATCGGATCCTGCGTCCCGTCAAACTCTGGTGGCTTCGTGTTGCTGAACTCCCGGAACAGCAACGAGTCACCCCCTGTGGTCTGGCAGCGGCCACAGCTGCGGTAGCTGCAGCGGCGGCAGCCTCAGTCAACGCGGCGTACCGCTCATCAAATGTCTCCATCAGCGTGGTCTTAATAGACCCAAACATCTCCGGAATCTCGGCCCGGATCGCTGCAGCTACCTCCTCATGAATCATCTGACGAAGCTCCTCGTCAGTCACACCACTCGTACCAGGTCTGTGTCGTGGTCCAACCATGATGTCTCTGAAATACAACATAAAAATATCAGAGACTCTATCGGGCATAATCGCACTCGATAACGCAGTCCTACTCAGTCTCCGATACCCAGGGATTCTTACTTGGGCTGCCCACTGACCCGGTGTCCTTGGTAGTACGGGCCCAATACTACCAATTACACCGCGTCGGTATTCACCCCAAGTCCTCCTCCCCAAACCCCGAATCCTGAGTACTCTATTCTTGCCATACACTAGTTACCCACTCGCTCTCAAGCACCTCATAGAAGCAGGTTTCCCTAGACTAAGGCATCACAAAATCAGGCCACTCTAGTCCTAATATGTATACCTAGTCTACTAGCATGCGTATCATATCATATCATATCTCATAACACATATTGTAAGAGTATTTTGGGGATTTTACCGTTCGGGCGCTGGCTGACCGTACACACTCTTTCTTCTTTGGTTGTCTCAAAATCACTTATCAAATTTTTTTATTGATTTATTAATTAAAATTTTCTCAAATCCCCGGTTTGAGTTCAGTTACGCCCGAAGGTGTACCCGAATCCCTCAAACCAAGGCTCTGATACCAACTTGTAACGTCATAAAATTCCAAACCAAAAATTTTTCATTTTTACAATCATCAAAACATGAGTAATAAGTTTAGGTTCCAATGTAACAATTTAGTCACAACCGATTACATAACAAAAGATCACAAAATGGTTTCCCCGAGTGTGTGTACGATCACGCCGGCGCCTTCCCACGGTCCTCGCTAGTACCTGAAACACATAACACAACAACTGTAAGCATAAATGCTTAGTGAGTTCCCCAAAATACAACCTACGCACGTACGCCTTTCCAGGCCTTGACCTTCCGGTCCATGTGTCTCAGGGGACTTCCGTCCCGACTGGGTAAACCTTCCGGTCCTACCCACGTCAACCTTACAGTCCATATGACCACGCCTTCCGGCCCATAACATGTTGCCTTCCGGCCCAAATCAAGCATATCATACATGGCACATATAACGAATAACTTAACACACATAAGGCATATATCTCATATCATATTCGACCTTCCGGTCACACAGTCAAAACCCTTCCGGGTACAGTATAGTGAGAAGACTCACCTCGTATGCCTCGCTAAGTCGCTAATCGTGAATCCTGGAATCACTCGTGCTCGAACCCTCGAGCTGTAATCCTCCTATGATATCATGAATCTATAATTATTACTTGTACCACTAAGGTTGACCATCCATATCAAGTCAACACAGGTTGACTTGGTCAACAGTCTTTGGTCAATTTGGACCGGACTCGGCGAGTGCACTATAGTGACTCGGCGAGTCTACGCGTTTTAACCAACTCTCAAGATTTTCCCTTTGACTCGTCGAGTACTCCCCCGACTCGACGAGTTCCACCTGGGCCTGAATCACGGGGCCACCGCGACTCAACTCGCCGAGTCGCAAGGACAACTCGGCGAGTCCCAACTTGACTCGGTCCACCTGTCAAAACCTTTCCAACTCTCTGCGACTCACTGAGTCACCCACAACTCGGTCAGGATTACACACTGGGTGGTCTCAAGGACAATCTTCAAGCGACTCGTCGAGTCTGTTCTTCAGACTCGGCGAGTCCATGCCATGCACCAGCTAAAACTGGCTTTTGCGGTCAGATCCGTTCCATACACACATAGATCTGGCCTTCCCAAGCTTATTCATCACGTAAAGTCCAGTCTTGGTCGCCATGCAATGCATACAAGGCTTATTTTGGAGAAACAACCTCTAATATGGCAACCCTAGCTTCTAACTCAAAAGAATGGACATAAAGCTTGTCATATGGGGTCTCCTGGACCTGCTAAGGTCCAGATCTAGGTTCCATATCTCCATGGGACCTTTCATACTTCCAATTTAAGCCAAGAAATGCAAGAAGAAACCCTAGATTTGACACATCAACCCAAAATACGAAGTTTGGCTCTGAAAGTTACCTCAAGAAGGCTCCCTTGATGAAATAGCAACAGATCCAAGCTCCCCAACTCTTCAAGCTTGATCCTCTCCCTCCTTTCTTGCAATAACACACAAAATGATGAACAAATGGCCTCCAAACACACTCACAAGGGCTCACAGTCGTATGGGTGCTCTTAGGGTTCAAGGTGGCCGCAAATGAAGGCCATAAGGTCCTTTAAATAGGGCTTAGGACCGGGAAATTAGGGTTTCATTAAACAGCGCGGACTCGCCGAGTCCATCCCTTGGACTCGCCGAATCCGGACGCGAACCTCCGCCCAAAACCGCGACCCGACTCGGCGAGTTCGACCTCCAACTCGTCGAGTCCCCTCACAGAATATCAAAAATATGAAAATGAAGGTACCTGGGGATCCGGGCTGTTACAATACAATAATAAAATAAAAAGTTTAATATACAAAAAAATTATAACCTCCTTCACGATTTTTATTTGTTTTCTAGAATCAAACAATAGTGGATTATCAGCATCTTCATCCTCCTTTACTCAATTTGATTTCTTTAGACTACCACCCACATTCTCATTCCCCTACATTTAAAGAAAAAATAATTAATAAAAAGCTTCGTTAAAAAATTAAATAATACATCATATATATTTAAATTGATAGTAATACCTCAAAAGCTTCGTTAAAAAGTCTTCCAAATCATCACCGTCTCGAGTTCCACCTTATTTTTCAATCCTCGGATTTCTTCCTCCAAAGATTCAAGTCTTGCCATTATTTTTCGCGTGGTTTTTTTTTTGTTAATTCCCACTGTATGGGTTCCCTCGGTAGCTTGGAAGATTGGTTGTTTCCACTGGATGTATGAGACGTGGATGCCCCTACATAAATTATTTCATATATCAATACTAGTTGAATAAAATTATTATACTAAATTCTGCTTCTACAAATTTACTTACATCATTTCAAAAGTTGTAGCGCTTTTACAAATTTACTTAAATCATTTCAAAAGTTGTAGGGTACAACAGAAGCGACTTCAGACGATTCACATTTCAAACTAGTAATATATGACAAATAATGTGGAGTAGAGGACTCGGCATCTGAGGCGATCATTTTTTTTTCGGTTGATATGCCTCGTCCTGATCAACATTGAAAATATCGCAAACTTTCGCCAAAGTTAACCTCCTAATATGAAACCAACGCAATATACGAGGATATAAATAATCGCGTCGTATCGTAGCATTTCCCCAAATTACTGGGAACATCTCTCATATCCATATCTTGTAATAAATATACGTTAACTTATAAGTGTTAGCACTAACTAAAATTTTAATAAAAAACAAAAACCGATAAATTATCAACTATATTTTTTTAATTAGTTAAATATACCTTCAAAGGAATAACAAAACCCGGCAGTGTGTACACAATCGCTTTTGTTGGATGGTTGGACATATCATCCTTAAATTTCTTAAACATACCTGACAATCTAGGGTATGTTTTAGTCCATAGATAACCTTCCCATGAGAACCTATATTATAAGAAAAAAAAAATATTAGTTAAACGTATAAAAATTAATATTTTATTATAAATATTAAATTGACAAATATCTATTTCATTGATCGACATTCTCCACCACCCACAAAAATTCCTTGGTGACTTTATCATTAAGCTCATTTCCCAAAAAAACCTTGATTGAGGAAATATAGCAAAATGGCACGGACACCGTCGTGAGCCGATATGTCATTGAACCGTTGATTCAAGATAAGGAACTCTAAATCTTCTATAACTAAAGAAGTGTCCGTGCGATATGTGAAGACTTTGGACCGAAATGTATTTACACCATATCCGTGTTTATACATGGTTGAAGATTCGATCCTTGATGTAGGACATCGACCCATGTAAAGTCCGTTCACAAGACAAAACTCCTCCGACCCAAATGACAGTGTACGTCTAGAAAACATAAAATATAAACATTCAGCGGCGTCCGTTTCACCAGTAGGACGCAACATACGCAATAACAACCCATGAATAAAAAGTCTGTCTCCGGACTGAGCTGGTAGGTCCAACAAGTAACTGAAGCTAGTCGTTGAAAAAAGATCGCGCACGGGTCCGTTCAAGTGACTCAAAACTTCATGCAATTTATGGCATGAAATAAGTGACTCATCATCGTTTGTTTGGAAGCTACAAAATTAAATAAACATTAAGGTTAAATAAATTTTTATAAAAGAAGAAAATCTGATAAACAATTAGAGAAAACACACAATATAAGACTTAATCATTTCATATATTGTACACCGTAGGTTTACAAAAACCTATGGTTTCCTTTTTTTTTTTTTTTTTTTTTTAAAAAAAAATACATATATGACAACAAAATAAATAAAGTTCCGATACTATGGAATCGATTTTAAAAAAAAAATGAATTTTTTTTTTACATACGGTTCATACGAAACTGTAGGTGTACAAGTCAACACTGCACAAATCTGTGCATTGGGCACTTGTACACCGTAGATTTCGTATGAAACCTACGGTTTTATATTTTTATTTTCGATTTTTTTTAAAAAAAAATTTAACCACATATACAAAACCTACTCATAATCACAAACACGGTAAAATTTTGATGAAAAGTAGATAAATTTGGTTATTCTTCGGATGTTCCATTAAGAGAAAAACATAGCCAAACCAAAGAAAATAATAAAAAAAAATTGCCTAATCTGAATTTTTTTTCATTTTATACTTTGAGTTAATGAGCCACAAAAAACTGACAATTGTCTATTAGCACAAAAAGTAGTTTAGGGCCAAAAATAGTTGACAATGACGTTGACCGTGGTCAACCAAACGCTGACTATGGTTTTAAAGGCTATTTTTGAGTTAGTATTATTGGCTATTTTTTGGTAAGTATTAACAAAAATGGTTAGATTAGATTTGTATTTTTCCCAATAATTTATGGGATGGAAATAAACATGAAATTACGGATGAGATGGATGATAAGGCAACGAGCCGGAGGACGCCACACAATCTTCCCACTCACTTCCCACCTCTCAATCTCTCGTTGCTATTATACATCATTTTTATTCGGATAATTCAGCTTTCGTTTGCCATCTGCATGTTTGAAGGCCTGGCAGGTCAAAATTCAGCTCTTCCCACTGGAATTCTGCACCTGTTAACCACCCAGCGGGCTTCTTCTCAACATGCTGCCCGTTTGCTCCACCATTGCTAACTGTTTTTCAAATTCCCAGGTTAGAATTATCATCATTCATGGATTGTTATGGTAAAAGTATCCAGGATAGTTTTACCCTAAATCTTGTTTTCGGCCGACTCAAAACCCGAATTATTTGTTGTGCACACGACATTATGAATCATGATACTACTTTTTGCAGGTTTGTCTATATGGAGGGTGTAGACACTTCTCCTTGAGTCGCAAGGCATTCACAGTTAAATGCATCATCGAAAATGATGCCAAAGTTCATCTACAAGGGCTTGAGCAGTTGAACTCTCTTAGATTTGCAGATCAATTCACTGGAAAAGCCAGATCATTGCCCAGGGCTTTTAATCTGCGGAATACAGTTATTGCAACCAGTATTCCAGATGATCCTGCATCTGCTTCCATGAAACCAGATATATATTCAGAATACCTTTCAAAAACAGATTCAGAGGATGTTTTTGCTGGAATAAATGAATCCCTTAGTGCCCTAGTTTGCAATACAGACACTGCTATTAGCAATACACTCAAAACAATCACTTCATCAGTAGAAGCTGCGTCAAAGGGTGTTAATGGTGCAATTGATGGTTCTCTTAATAACTTGAAGCTCTCTTTTAGCAGTGCATTGTCTGGATTATCAAATAACTCTAAGGGAGTATCAAGTAAAGCAGGAGGTATTGCTGTTGATGGGTTGAGAACTGTGATCATCACAGTTGAGGAGTTGCTATCAGAAGGGGCCATGTTTTTGGTGTATGCTTATGCATCTGCCAAGGATATGCTCCCTCCAGAGCTCCAGAATGTGCTAAATTCTTCAGAAGATAAGGCATATGGTGTGTTGAAGCCTATTGGGACAACCTTTCAGCAGGTTTATGTTTCCATAGAAGGATTTGAGAGAATTATTGGCATTGATCCTAGTGATCCGATCGTCCCTTTTGTACTTTTGCTTGGAACATCAACCACTTTATGGTATGGATGTCCTTCTTTTCCTCTTTCTTGAAAAAACCAGCTGATGCTCTGATGGAAGCTTAGCTTACATATCCTCAGATGCTTACAGGGCTTCTTACTGGATCCTGACCTATGCTGGATATGCTGGAGACTTATCCCCAAAGTTGGCTTTTGAGCTGCTGAATGGGAAACAAAGTGTTGCACTAATTGATGTCCGGCCTGAGGCAAGAGACTGTAATTTTTTCTAGCCTTTCTTTTCTAAATGTTTTTATATTAGTATAAAGTTATCATCTCATTCTCGAAAAGTATGGCTCAAATATTACATTATCCATGTGAAGGATTTCAGAGAGAGGGATGGAATTCCTGATCTCCGAAGGACAGCTCGATTTCGATATGCTAGTGTCGAATATCCTCAGGTTGATTCATACTATAGATGATCTGTTTCTCCTTTTGTCATCTAATAACACGAGTGTTGCAAAGAAAAAATAAGGATTTTGTATCATTTTGGCGAATGCCATTAATTAACATTTTATTAATATGGAATTTCAGGTTGATACTAGTGTAAAAAAGTTACTCAAGAGTGGGAAAGGTCTTGATGATGCATTGGTTGCTGCTGTCATTCGGAACTTGAAAGTTGTTCAAGTATGTGATTGCCTGGATTTTTTTTTTTTTAGTTTAATTAAGGCACAGTCATTGCTGTTAGAAAAAGGATGTTTTTCCAGCAACCCTATATTGCAGGAGCATCACACATGAGATGAGATGTAAATTATGTGGATGGCATATATGGGCCCGCCCAATCCACACTGGAATTGAAAAATGAAAACCTTGAGGGCTGCTTCTACCATGCACTTAGTGATTTTTGTAGAATCGAGAGACTATGTCTAAAAAATAGCATCATTTTTATATAATAACTTGTTTCCTCTATCTGTGTGTGGACCTATATATATAGCAAGGGTCGAAGGTGATAGTGATGGATGCTGATGGTACTCGCTCCAAGGGAATCGCAAGATCACTGAGGAAACTTGGGATTAAGGAAAGTATTTATTTTGCAGTAGTAGCTTCGATTTAATGATAGTTAAATATTATAATCATTACTACTACTAAAATGTTGATTTTTTTTTTTTTTGGAAATGGCAGAGACCATACTTGGTCCAAGGTGGGTTCCGTTCTTGGGTTCAAGAGGGTTTGCGTGTTAAAGAACCAAAACCTGAGACAACACTTACCATACTAAATGAGGTATAATTTATTTTAACTTTTGTCTGCCTGTACATCAAGTTTAGGGACTTGTCTTGAACTAAATTTAGATAAACTAGTCTCAAGTCTCAACTGCTCAATGTATCTGTTAATCCAAGTTGGCTTAATTAATGACAGGAAGCTGAGGCTATTCTAGAGGGTATCACTCCGTTCCAAGTTATCGGGTATGGCATGGTAAGCCTATTTTATTATGTGCAGGATCCACTAGCCTTCGGTACTAATATATAACTTTAAGATATTTTAAGTTTGTTTATTGTGCAAAAACAGTCCTACAACAACATTAAAGAGTAAAAATATCCATTCAATATACTTCTGAATTTGAAATACTTGAAGCGTCCAAAATTTTATATCATGATACTGATAACAGTTTTGGTCTAATTCTTGTGATTGCTTGCTTGGTTGTCTACAGGGTTTTCTGGCAACTGCATTTGCATTGTTAGGTTTGTATCTTTTCCAAATTATTCTTTCAAGAATGTAGATAGAACACATTGGCATGACTAGACACAAATTCATTGAAAGTTTAACAAAAATAATTACATCTCTCTGTTGAGGCAGGCATGTGTGTGTGTGTGAGAGAGAGAGTTTTAGTTTCCATTGTGGACTTGTATCCTACCAGGCTCTGTGATTTACGTGTCACATAATATGTGTTCATAGTGTGGGTCCCATTTTGCAGAAATTATGATAAAATTAGCTGTTACTGTTAGTGTTTATTTTTTAAGCGTTGATATATACGTGATGTATGTTTGTAACAGAGTGGGAGAAGACATTGCAATTCATTGCTGTTGCTGGCATTGGTCAGGTACTCTTTCACTATCTATATTACGGTTGAAGAAAAAATTAAATACTAGTAGTTTTTTACATGAATTCCTTTTTTGACAAACACCAGACTATATATCGAAGGATTGCTTCTTACGAGGACTCTAACGATTTGAAGAGAGATGTGGGGTAAATATTTGACATGTATGTTAATTATACATAATTAATGATTGATTAAATGATTGATTGATGGATCCGTTGAAGGCAACTTGTGGTCCCTGTTAAGTTGGGAGGGCAGGCGATTTCATGGGCGGCTGCGAAGCTGGAAAGTAATCGCAATGGTTTACCAACTTCGCCTTCCTCGGTAAATGTCCAGAACAGGGTACTGCAAGCTGCTGCAAAGCATGAATCTCAGCCACCTGAACAACCACAGGATTCAACAGCAAACCCAGATCTCTCTGAAGCATAATAAATAATAGACACACATCCAAAATCATATATAAGCTTTCATCACAAATGCGGGTGGGTTTCTTGTGTTTCATTCAAATACCAATGGACTCCACAACCACTCATAAATGTAATGTATTTGTATAGCTGCATAATATTATGGGAGATTTGTGTTTCCTTTTATACCGACTACTTTTTAAATCATCAAAATATCCGGTGGTTCTTACCTTTAAAGCTGCTTGGCAATGGAGCGGGTTTTAATCCTGATCCGATCCAAATCCTTAAGAATTATATGAGTTACGAGCATAGTTTTTGATTTGTTTACCTGTTAACGATCCGTACCCGCTAACAATTTTATTAAAACAGTCGGGTATGGATCATCACCGATCCGATCCATTTATAACCCGC